CTCCCCTCCCCGGACCAGGACGGGTGGTGCGAGCTCGTCCTTTCCCCAAGCCCGCGGGGTTCCTGTGAACACGGGCCGGGGAGGGCGTGTGAGTACTTGATTTTTCTTTCTTTTTTCTTTTTTTAAAGAATATTTGATTTTTCACAGAGCTCAGGTCGGATGGTAAATACTCAGGGTTTTTTTTAACATTTTTAAAATTTATTTTTAAAAATTTTATATATTTTTTATATAATTTTTCATTTTTGCACAATATGCATTTTCATCTTGGTTATAGTCCCCATACAATCCCCGCCCCCCTTGTTTTGATCCTACTCCCTCCTTCCCCCCTGGAGTGTGTCTCTGGTTTATATAACACCATGGACTATTACTCGGCCTTCAAAAAGGATAAACTCATGCAATTTGCAGCAACATGGATGGCGCTGGAAGGGATCATGCTCAGCGAAATAAGCCAGAAAGAAAAAGAAAAATACCGGATGGTCTCACTCATAGCAGGAATCTAGAAAACTTAAATAAGGGAGCAGGAAAAAGGCCAATTATAATAAAGGAAATACTCATTTTTTTCCCTGAACCTGGGGAGGGTGGTGTGAATGCTTGTCCTTTCCTCTAGCGCTGGGACCGTGATAGCCTTTTTCAGGTGCAGGAGGGTGCTGCGGACGCTAGTCCTTTCCCTGAGCCTAGGGAGGGTGGTGTGAATCTCGCCCTTTCTCAGAGCTCAGGGAGGGGGTTGAATGCTTGTCCTTTCCCTGAACTCCAGGAGAGTGATGTGAATTCCGGCCTGGTCTCGGCCTGGGGGTGTGGTGTGGTCCCGGGGCAGGGATGGTGTGTGAACGCTCAGCCCCTTGGCGCTCGGGGGTGTGGTGAGTGCTCGTCCCTTCCCCGAGCCCGGGGAGATGCTCGTGAACACGTGGCTTTCCCTGCGCCGGCGTCAGGTGTGGGAGTGATTGTCTTCCCTGGAGCCAGAGTGCGTGTGAATGCCCTCACTTCCCCTGAGCCAGTGGAGGCTCCTGCGAGTGCCTCTCTTTTCTAGGCACCCAGGAAGGGTTCTGGTTATGTGCAGTTGTCCTGCCCTCAGACCCATCAGCTCACGTGCCGCCTGACTGACTCCCCCCGTGTTGGAGCGGCCACTTCAGCATCATGTCCTCACTCCGAATGCACCTCCCCTAGCCCCTACCTGTCCCTTGCTCACCCGGGGTCAGTACCGCCTGGGACTTCCTCCAAACCCAGTTCATGTCAGCACGGCCTGCACGTCTTGAAGGTTTCTCACTAGGTTGTCAGGTTATCCCATCACCCCGTCCCATGGTGAATGTTTTGCCTTTGATAGCCTGGTTTCCTGGCTTCCTCTTGGCTCATGCCCGGGCTCACCTCCAGCGTGCCAGCCCCACTGGGGGTGAAAGGGTGAGCCCTTCTCCTGGCTTGTGGAGGGGGAGTTTTCTCTGCTGTCTGTGCCTGGTGCTGTGCCTGAGTCCCTGCTCTACTGCCCGGCCCCCGCCTCCTCTTCCCAGACTCTACCTCCTGTCCGCCCTCTCACTGCTCAGAAAACCTTTCTGGAGTACGAGCAGCTGTGGCCCAAGTCAGCTTGGAGTTTGTCATCCCCACTCCCACTGTGTTCTCCTCTGCTCTTCGGAGGAAGGGTTGCCTCTGAGTCTGCAGGTTGGACGCATGCTCTGAAAGCAGATGGCCGCAGCGAGCCCGCGTGGCGCTGATCCACGCCGAAAGGGCGAGGCCGCGCGTGTGCCTCGGGCCTGCTCGGGCGCAGCTCTTTGGCCTCACTAAGCCCGTATCCTTCATGTGTTTCCATTGCCCCCGGGGGGCTCGGGGGGACTTTTAATTAAAAAGTGTGGCCTGGACGGGTTGCGGGACTGGCGGGGGACCGGCCGTGACCGGGCAGCTGTGCTTGAAGGGCCACAGCGGCTGGTGGCCCTGGGTAATGGGGGAGACGGCCTTTCTTCAATAGAGGGTAGCCCCGCGCCGGGGGAGGTGGAGGAAAGCATCTCCTCTCCTTTTCCTCTGGCCGCCCAGGCCCTTCACTTAGGTGCGCTTTTAATATCTGCTGCTTTGATGTTCTCATTCCCAGTCTCCAGGCCCTGGGCCCGGCCTGAAGCTGCTGGGGAAAGGCCCCGCCAGCCGCCTGGCCTCTCCGGCCGCTCCCTGTGCTGTGCTGACCGCCCGTCTTCCTGCTCTTAGCTCCCTGCCCTGCCTTCGGGGGCTTTCCCTGCTCCCCAGCGTTCTGATCGCTGCTGTGGCCTCTCGGGGGCTGCCCTCGGCCTGCCTGTCCCATCCGGGCTGGGGCCTCTCATTCCTTGTTTGGCTCAGCCTTGGGGGGGCCAGCTCTGCGGGCGCCTCCCGCGCAGGGAGTCTGCAGCTCCTTTTCAGCTGCTGGCCTGTGCCTGTCCTGGCACCGTGCGGCCTCTGCTGTGCTTTTCTTCCTGGACTGTGGCTCCGGGACGCGGACAGCCCCTCTTAGCCGGGCCCTGCACCTCTGCTCAGGTAGTGGCGGCGGCTCCTGGTTGCCAGTCTTCCTACTCCCCCCCTACTCTCTTTATCTTTCTAAAGTTCCTGAGTGTTTTCCCAAGTTCTGGTGCGTCCCCTCGCCTCCGCCGCCCCCAGCAGAACCAGCTGCAGACTTGCAGGCTCCGTCCTCGTTCGTCCCTGTCACTGGGCCTGTCCTCGGGAGCGTTGCCTGTGTATGCCCGGAGCTGGGCGCCCCACCCCTGCCGTCCACGCTCTCCTCCTGTCCGCATCTTGCTTGCCGCCAGGGCCACCCCTGCTGTCATCTTTCTGGACGCTTTACTTCCAGACAGAATTAGCTGTTGTCCTCGCCCTCATCGCACTCTGCTCCTGATTTGGGGATAACACTTAGCACATTTTGACACGACCGGTTCCCACCTCTTGGTGTGTGAGCCTCTGTGGCTGAGCTGCTGTCTGCTTGTGGCTCTTCCATGGAGTGTGGCGCGGGGGGAATGTCCCCTCAGTGCCCCTCACCCCCCATGTTTGAAGGCGCCACATCTCTCTTGGGGTCACTGCTCCTTCCGTGCCTGAAGCAGAAGCAGAGAGGTGCTTGTTTCTGCTTTTTATCGGACACCAGTGGGTGCAAGAATAGTAAAGCAATCGTGAGCATCGGAGACATTTTGATGTAACTGTGCGCACAGGACTAAGGGACACAGTGTTTATTGCGGTCCTGAGAGGAGTTGCGTCCTGATTCTCCTTTGTAGGTACCGATCGGATCGGCGAAGAATACTGTTGCCTTTGTTTAGTTATTTGCTCTCAGTTTGTTTATGAGAAGTACCTTTCCGTCTCCTGCCCAGAGGAAAAGTGAGGGAAGAGATGAACAGACTTGTCTGCCCATCCAGGGACAGTCGCCCTAAGACAGACCTAAGACGGGGTCGGGACGCTGAGCGCTGTGTCTAGAGGAGGCAGCGCCCGGCCCTCGGCTCTTGCTACCACCTTTCCCTCCGCCCACGGGCACCTGTGCTGGTGGCTTTTTCTCCTGTTCAGTTTCTTTTTACTGAGTCGTAATCGATATGCATGAATGTGTGATTTCAAGCGTGCCGTTCATTGTGTTGGCTTTTTTGGGACCAGCTTACTGCATTTTGTCGGGACAGTGGCTGGTGCCAGTGCCGCTTCTTCCCTGACAGCGAATCCACAGTCACCCCAGGTTTTTCCCAGTCACCCCCCACCTTGTGCTCAAAACCCTGTTCTGATTTTTTCAAAGTAGGTTCATCTCGCCTGGTTTCGAGTGCCATGCACCTAGGATCACGGGTGCATATTTCCCTGTGTGCGGTCTCTTTCCCTGAGCTTAACATTTTTGAGACCCACGTCCTTGCTGTATTGGTAATTGTCCCTTTTCGGCGGCGAGATCTGCCATTGTCTGAATAGACAGAGTTTTTCTCTCCTGCTGCTGGATACTTGCATTGCTTCTGCTTTGGGGTATGCTGTGAATAAATCTGCTGTAACCCATTTTGTACCTGTTTTGTGTTCATTTTTCTTGGGTAAATACCTGGACGTGGAATTGATGAGTCATGGGGAGGTGTTTGTTTAACTTGGAGAAATTGCCAGATTGCTTTTTGAAGTGGTTGCCGTGTTGCTTGCTTTTTGTAATTTATAAAAAATTGGTATCTGGTCTCATCGTAGACATCCTGCTGTAGACCTGACTGGTACCGGGGATTGGCAGGCTGTATTTTGCAAAAATCAGTTTTATTTTAAAACATTGCTAGGCCAAGCTCACTTGAAAACAGTTCAGAATATTATTAGGCCTTTGAAGTGGTTGGCTATCGCGTAGATGTCTGGATAAAACTACCGCATGTATACTTTCTATGCACCTCCGTGGGTCTGAATGGCCTGGGCTCCCCAGCCACGTGGTTACTCAAAAGTCAAGAAGGTCTCAGGACTGGTGGTTCACTAGGAAATCGCTGGGGTGTGGACATGGCGGCTAAAGGGGGGAACAGGAGGTTGTCCAAGTAAATGTGGAGGGACAGCCTACTTGGAAGGGCCCCTGGCAGTGGCCGGATGGTCAGAGGAGACAAGCAGCAGAGCTAAGCCCCGCAGGAGGCCAGCTTGAGGCAGGAATGGAGACTTGGGGGGAGCACAGGTGCTCTTAGGGGCAGAGACTAGGGGAGTTCACCTGGCAGGCCCGGCCGCTTGTCACCCCGACCCCCATCCCTGCTCCCTCTACTACACCACCCTCCTGTATCCTCCTTGGGGTTCTTGGTTTCAGAAAACATACCAACGGAGGGTTTGGGTAGCAGAAAAATATATTAGAAGACTGTCAGATAAAGCAGAATGGACAGGCTGCAAGTGTGTAGATTTTTGGGGAGGGGGAGCCTTTGTCCTCCTGGATTGTTCCTCTACTTTTTTCCCTCCTGATGTCTTCCTTTTTGTCATTTAGTTCTTACTGGGAGAATGAGTTCCTCACTCTCATGCAAATTTTAAGATTTAAAAATTCTACCATTATGTTTTCACTTTTCAGTAACTAGAAAGTAATAAGAATGTTCCCCTTTTTGTTTCACAGATATATTTTCTTCCAGAGTTTTCTTCTCTATGCACTGTGCCTGCTCTGAATTCCTCTCCCTGTTTCTTGGTGGGTGGAGGGGGGCTCTGTCTTTCATGAGACCTGTCTTGGATCTCCCTCAAAACCAGGCACGTGGCACTTCTGTGTCCATGGTGAGAGTGGCCTCCGGTGACCCAAGGAAACCTGGTGTTGGTCATTGTGTGTCGAAGACCAGCTCCGGGAGAATGTTGGGTCGGGTGTCCCTGAAAGGATGAGATGGCCTAGGCCAAACTTGAGGGTTGAGGGGCAGGGGAGTGAGGCAGACACAGACACTCTTATACTGGTGAAAGTATCTCCTGCAGAGGGTCTCAGCGGGTCTTTATTTATGCATTAAGGCAAGTGGTGGGATTACATGTCGAATGCATAGAAGCAAAACAAAAACAATCAGTACATTCCTTTCCCATAGACATTTTGGCGCCTACGTGTTTTTGAGAAAAGACACAACCTTAAACGTTAATAGATAATTAAAACTTAGACTCATTATTTCAGCCTAAACAACTACCTAGGTCAGCTAATAGTCCTTGGTACATCCCTATCGCCAAGGCTACAGTATCAGGAGACTCCTCTATCTATATGGCCTGCAGCTAGAGGCCAGTTGCTTCCCACTAATCAGTTGTTAGAACTTTTTGCTACCTAGAAACTCCTAGCGTAATCAACTTTATGATTCATGACAAGGCTTCTCTACGGAACTCCCATATAAGGAATGTTATGGCCAGCTCTGGGTTGCTTATCAAGCATGGCCTTGCACAATAATTATTTCCCATTGTCAAGTGGGCCAAGTTATTCAGTGTTTAATTTTTAAGCAAGTAATTCTCCGTGCCATGTACTTACAGTATTCTTACACGTACAACATTTTTTGTCCAATGTATTTGCCGAGAAGTTTTTTCTTGTTATGACCAAGAACAAAAAACAAAGGGATGTTCAGTCTTCAGCCCCACAGTGTGAGGCCCTTTTCTTAACTGCTTGCCAGCGTCTTACCTGGGGCAGGAAGGCCTCCTGCAGCAATTGTGGGTGCTGCTGCCTCTTGGGATCTTCAGGTCTTGTTTTCTTAGGTCAGATAAGTGGTTTTAGAGAGGCTGTGCCTGGACACCCACCTGCCAGTGACATGGGGGCCCAGTGGGAGGTGTGCCTGGGAGCTGCTTCCCCTCAGGTGCCTCCCGCGCCTCTCCCACCGGCACTCCCACCTCTTGTTCTCCTTCTCTCTTTTCTGTAAGTACTTTGCTATGGCTGGGGAACTGGTGTGGCCTCTGAGTGCAGGCTGACCAGATGTGGTTGGGATTCCCCTCGGGGCTGTTTCTTGAGGGACTTTGACTCATAGACTTGCTTTTCAGAAGGGCTCAAATAGCAGATGGCATATTAGACACCTTGAAAGTACTGGTTTTCAGGATTATCATTTATTACTAATGAAAACATGGAGGAGCAGTGATTTCAGTCATTTCTGAATAACATAACTTTATGGATGAAAGATTATGTTGGTTATAGGTGGTGCAGAAATTAATCACACCCAAAGAATTATTGTGCACTTTTGTCATAGTCAGTAACTCTGCTGACGAGATCTTACCATCTTTCAGGCCCGTCACATTGGGCAGTATGCACCTTAAGATCCTGAAGAAGAGGCGCAAAACGTTCCAGTAATGCTTGGAAGTGACCTGTGAGGTAAGGGCGTGATTCTTCCTTAGTGCGTGACCAGTTTCTGTCTGTAGAGCTCTGAAAAGGAATTGCAAGCTCCACGGCCGCAGGCCTGTCCTCCTTTTCCGCTGTTGCCTTAGGCTTCTTACCAGCTGACCTGAAGGCGTGTATCTGGAAGAGCCTGTGAGCTACACTGATAAATTCTTAGCAAGATGAGGTGGGTGTGCAGCTGTAAGGGAAGTTTGTGCTGTTGCAACTGTCCCCCAAATAGTGGCATCTGCAGCACTGCCTTTGGTGTTCTGGGAAACAGCTTGGGTTCAGAAGGGGACACACAAGCCCATCCATTCGGCCATTAAAATAGAGAAACGACGATGTGACATGTTTTCCCATCACTCCGTGCAGAGTGCTTTCAGCTGCTTCCCAGAAATGCTTCTGTGCGCATTCAAGCAGCAGCAACGGCGGGCTTTAGTGTAGTCAGCCGGCATGCACCCAGCCCTAACGCGCGTGTGCATGGCAGCATTGCCTCATGCGTGGCTGAGTGTTTGCTCCAGTGTGCCCAGTGTTTGCAGTCGGGTTCAGTGTGAAGGGAGGGTTTCTTCATTTCCTCCCCTCCTTTCCTGTTGCATGAGGAAAGCATAACTGCATGACTCAGCGGGACCATGTGCAGTTCAACACACATGGAGTGTGTCCGGCCTCCGCTGGCTGTGCTTTCCCGACCAACAGTAACTTCTAGATGTTTTCCTGTTGCCTTCCAGGGAGTGTTACAGGCTAAAACACACCACACGCTGCACCAGCATTCTAAGGGTCACTTTTAGGAGGGCTCACCTGCCAGGGCTATGTCGCTGTGGTCCTCTGGCACAGATAGACCTGCCCCACAGGCCGCCCCCAGGGGGTGCTCTTGGGGCCTCACTCCCAAAGACCACACTGACCTGGCTCAGGTGCTCCGCATCTGTGCCTTCTGGAGACTCCTGGCTCCTGCTTCTAAGTAGAACCCAGACTGCACAGGCAGGGTGTTCTTACACAAAACTGGTCTTCACTGGACTTGGGGTCCAGCAAGCCAGCCCCCTCTTTTCACAGAAAACATTCTGTTTAAGAAGTAGCCATGGACAGTGGCTTGCGGAACTCCCATGGACATCACCGGGGGCTGTGACTCTGAGAGTGGGACCAACTTCTCATCTGCTTATAAATAAACTTGCCATGGGCCCAACAGCAGGCAGAAAGGACCCTTCCTGTGAGGGGCAGCTGGGAGGAAGGAGGAAGACACACAGCTGCTATCTCAGGGAGAACATGAGGCTTCACTGTAGGTGGAACTTAGGCTGTGACCTGATTGCTCAAGGAGGTGGAGAGATGCTTCCAGATCCTGCCAGTCCTGTGACAGAACCAGGCTTTACCCGTGGCGTAGACAGAACTGGTTTCCACCTTCATCTGCTCGTAGTCACACCCTTCAGACTGCACATCAGAGACAGGAGAGATGCCTTTCAGGGTGGCTGACTTGAAAGAAGGAAGTTGTAGGCCTTGTACGATAAGTGGGAGTCTCCACAGGGAGGAGACTGTGGAGCTGTTTGTAGGGAAGGCGGTGCAGCAAATGCCAGCTTCTTTCAGCTGTGTCAGGTCTGGCCAATTTCCTTTTATCTTTAGTTTCTTCTTTATTTCACGTAAAATGATTTTAAACCTTTTTTTTTTTTTTTTTTTTTTTTGCCTGACCGAGGAGCAGATTTTTTTTTACTGGCTGAGGGAACCGATGTCATTTCATCAGTGTGTTTATACTGAGAGAATTCTGCCAGGTTTTCATCTGCAAGTCCGTGCCCGCATTGCAGATTTCATTACCACGCACCGAGGGCCTGTAGGGAGAAGAGCAACGCCCAGAGTCGGCAGCGGGGCTGGTCTTCGCCTGCAGCCGCCTGAGCACACGCGTCCCGTCTCTTCTGTGCCTGGACGCCAGTCTCTTGCCCTGTGCTTGTCTGAAAAGCCCTGTGCTGGCCCGAGGAAGTGCTTAGGTCGTTTGATAAGATGCCCTGGGTGTCTTGTGCGAACTGAAAGCCAAATGAACTCTGTCTCCGTGTCTCCTTGCTCTTTATTTATCATGACTGTTACTGCCTCTGTCAAACACTGATAAGAGGAGGTCGTGCATTTAAAGCAACAGTCACCACAGTTCCTGGGAACAGTGCAAGCTTTTCTTCAGTTCCTCTGACCCGGTGTTCTCAGAGACCAGGCACTGCAGGAATTCTGGGAGAGGCAGCCAAAGATGGCTGACAAAGAATGGGTTAATAGGCGTGGGCGACTTTTCAAAGATTAAAATCGAGAGGAAAGGCAATCTCCAAACAGGATAGAGTTGAACATAGAAAAATGGGAGCTGCTTGCTGCACGCTGCACACTTGCATGCAGGCTGAAACGAGGGCGCGATGCCAGTCCACTGAGGATAAACAGCACAGCCAGGTGAGGGCGCAACAGAGCAGAGGAGCACGCTTCCACCTCATGCCTTCCTTGCGCTGCTCATGAGGCTGAGCCGGCTTTGGCACAGAGAGCAGGCCCTGGTGAGGGGGTCGTGGACTGAGCTTCGCTCCCTCCCGCCCCCCAAGGCATGCTCACTTGTTCTTTCCATTCTCCCAGGTCATTTGTGGCCCTGGCCACCTGTAGGTGACTCCAGGCTGAAACGGAAAGTCCCATGGGCTTACTGTGTCCTAGACAGTCAAGTAATCAAGGTGAAAGGTTTTAAAATTCAAATCTTAACTTGTTTAGTTTCCCTGCTGTCTGTGTTTAGACTATCTGAACACAGATCTGAAAAGGCCAAGGGAGGGCCTACCTGGTGGCACAGCAGGTTGAGCACAGCACTGTGAAGCTGTCCACGGCCTCTGCAGCGCAGGTTCAATTCCCAGCTGGCCAGGGAGATGCCCACATGGCATGGCAGACCTCTCCTGTCTCATCTGCTGCTCCCCTCAGCAGTGCTTTCGGTCCGTCTGCCTGTTCTGCTGTTCGGTCCGCTCTGTCTCTGGTGAATCCTCTCACTCTCCCGCGCCTCTGGCCTGTGCCCCAGCTCTTGTATAAATAAAATAAATCTTTAAAAAAAAAAAAAAAAGGCCAAGGACAGCAGTGGCCCCTGGTGGCTCATGGCAGGGGCATAAGCCAGCATCTCCTCAGCTCCCTCCCACCCCTCCAGGTGCCTCCGGGAACCATGCCGTCATCAGGACACCGTCTCCGCGATATTGAGCACCACCCTCTCCTGGCTGAAAATGACAACTGTGACTCTTCGTCCTCCTCTTCCTCTGAGGCCGACGTGGTGGACAGAGTGTGGTTCATCCGCGACGGCTGCGGCATGATCTGCGCAGTCATGACGTGGCTTCTGGTTGTCTATGCAGACTTCGTGGTGACATTTGTCATGCTGCTGCCTTCCAAAGACTTCTGGTACTCTGTGGTCAACGGAGTCATCTTTAACAGCCTAGCGGTGCTCGCCCTGTCATCCCACCTGAGAACCATGCTCACCGACCCCGTGAGTACTCGCCTCGCGCGTTCCTGCAGCGCCCTGGGGTTACTCCTTCCGGGACACAGGCTCCCGGCACTTCCGCATCTGACCTGGAGAAGGGAGAGCACTTAGGAGCGGTTCCTGGAGAGTAACGAAGAATAGCGCCCATGGGCTGTCCGCTCAGCAGAGGGATCCCATCGGCCTTCTCCAGGAAGGTCTGTGCGCATAATCCCTCCTACTTTAAATGCTCTGGTTTCTCTGAAGCACGAACTAGAGCTCCAGAATACCCCTGCGCGTGGCTTCTCACTTGTCTCTTGATCCCAGGAAACTCATTGGGCTTCAGGTTCCATGTACTCGCTCAGTTCTTTCCAGTTCCACGACTGCAGAGTTTCCTGTCTCTGCTCCGCCCTGGAGCAGACGTCTCCCCCTACCTGGTAGCAGGGCTGTGAAGCAGGCTGAGGGCTCTGTCGGGTGTGGGTGGTGGCTTTGGAGGTAGCGCTTGCAAAGCGGAGGTCAGGTTCAGCACACAGGGAGCTGGGTGCAGGTGGCAGGCACAGGGAGGCACATGGGCTCACCTTTCAGCAGTGCCCATTCAGGTCCGTTCAGGTCAAGCATACAGATGGGCCCTCCCCTCCCCCGTACCCCAAAGCTGGCAGCGCCATGAGCTGCCCGTGCTCCTGCGGACCTGGAATCTGCTCGTCACTTTAAAGCCGTGTCTCTGAGGTTTTGAGGTTTTGCCGGGCAAACGGACGTCATGACCAGGCAGCGGATTACAGACTCACCCCGGAGCCAGGAGGTGCAGTGGGAGAGAAGGGGGCCTGCAGATCCAGGGCGTGGTTTCTCCAGCTAGGGGACCTGTGAGCAGGTGTGCATGGCCAGGTGTTAGGGGCCCCCAGGGGATTTCATTTGGGAAAAAGCTCATTGCAGAGAGTTAAAACAGTGGGTTTAAACCTTTGGTGCTGCGCTTCTGATGTGTAAATTAAAATCCGCTGAGTTCCTGTGGGATGCTAAGCTTTATCTGAAGAAAGTACACAAAGGTAATGTTATGGTAGAGAGAGATTTATCAATTAGATTAGGGCTCTGTGTGAGAATGAGCTGATATCGATCAGTCTCAGCATGTGGTTGGACAATGACTTACTCGGCTTGTCGTGTCTGAGGTGATACCACAGGGGCTTTGCCTGGCCTTCTTCATGCTGTCACCTCGTTTGCCAGGCACAAGGCTTAGGCTGTGCTCAGAGACTGTCACAGGGCCCTGTTTGTCTCCCTTACACAGCAGTGCCCCCCTCCAGGAACCAGACCCTGTCCTGACCCCTGATACCTCCTTCCCCTCTCTTCTGTGTGAGAAGCATCACACATCAGGACCACCCGTCTCTATTTGAATATTTATATAGGCAGAGCCTTTTTGATGCCCCCCACCTGCCTGCATGTAGAACCCAGGCCAAGGCCTCCTTGGCAGGCCTTTTGGTGACGGGATCACATCCATGCCAAGTGCCCTGAAGTGGGCATGTGTGATGGGACCATACGAGACCGCTCTCTTTGGGTTGAGTACAGGCATCCCTGCCCCTCCTCTGTTGAAAGGCCTCAGCACTGCAGGAAGCCCCAAGAGCTCAGGGCAAGTTGGGGGCTTGTGCCGCCCAATGCCTCTGTTCCCACTGTGCTGCTGGGATCACTACTGAGAGTGCCGGAGCAGGCATTGTGAGGTATGGGGGTTCCAGGGTGCAGGAGGAGCGGGGATCTTGGAGAGCAGTATGTTTCATTGAAACTTAATTCGCCTAGTACGACACTCATGATTTAAGACGTGCAGTCGGGAGCTCCGCGTCCTCTTGAGTTGTGCCACCATCCCCCTGCACCCCTTCGCCATCACTGCCCACTCTCCCCATTACTCCTGGTCCCTGGCAGCCATGAATCTGCCTTCTATGGGTTTGCCTCCTCTGGGCAGCTCATGTAGATGGAGTCCCATGATCTTAGACCTTTGATGTCACTGACTCAGCAGGAGGTTTGCGGGGAGCCTTTCCTCCACAGCAGGGTGCGCGCTCTGCGCCTTAATGTCCCGGGCCACAACTTGGCATCCCATTGTGTGGGTAAGTTACCTTTTGTTTTGAGCCATGTCAGTTGATGGACATTTGGGCTGTTTTTTGGCGATTGTGGACAATGCTGCATGAATACTCTGTGTGCGCGTGCGCGTACGTGCACACACATGTACCTACATTTCATCTCTGGGCGTATGCCTGGGAGTGAATTACTGGCCATGTGGTCGCTCTGGCTAACTTCTTGAGGAACTTAGGAGTGTTTTCCACAGAGGCTGCTCCCTCTCATTCCCACCAGCAGCGCCTGGGGGTCCAGTTTGTGTTGTGGTTCGTCGTTTTGGTTATAGCCACCGCCTCGTGGGTGTGGACCGCTGGTTCGCTGTGGTTGGGGTTTGCCTCTTTCCACTTGCTTGCCGGCTGTTTGCATGTCTTGGAGAACTGTCTGACCAAGTCTATTGTCCAGATGTCAGTGTGTCAGGAAGGCCAGTTACCAGGATTCTGCTGGCAAGATTCTGAAGCCAGCAGGGACCTGAGGAACCCAGGGCGAGGAGTCCCCTGGCAGACGGTGGAGTGGGAGGAAGTAGCTGTAGAAGAATAGGCTGAGGGGGCACTGGTCCAGCTTCTCCGTCCCCTAAGGCCTTCTGTCCTTCTATGCATATGTGAAATGGAGGTGAAGAAGGGCGCCCCCACAGACCAGACCAGATAGGAAGGTAAAATTCAGGCCCACATCCTGGAGGAGACGCTGGCCCAGCAGAGTCAGACGTCCTCTCCTGCCTGAACCAGAGTCGTTACACCCACTGGGACTTCCTGTCCTCCGAAAGTCATGGGGCCAGTCCATCTTTGCAGGATCGGCCGGGGTTTGTGTTGCCACTCGAGAAACAGCCTTGGTCCTTTGAGGAGCAAGAAGGAAGATGGAGTTTCTGACGTGATGGATCAGAGAGCTAATAATAAGCCAGTGGCCCCCGCTGCCGGAAGCCAAGACTTCAGCCCATCTTAATATTGTGAAAGGACACGGAATGAATGGGAAAAACCCTCCCCCCATACCCCAAGAGTACCCACGTCCTAAACCCCATTCTGCACAGCGTCTCTCAGCAACGCTTGCCTCTGCCTGACAAAGGGAGACCTGTGTGTGGCGGAGGGCCCCATTCCAGGCCCCCTGCCAGAGCATTCCTTCATCGCAGCAACTCGAAGAGGTGGGCATACTCCACGTGAGCAGTGAGGCCAGCCTTGTGGGAGACAAAGCTGGCATTTCAGCAAGAGTTGTCTGCCTCCAAGCCCCTGCTGTTGTGCTGGCTTCTTAGTTTTCTATCCACTGGAGCCCTGTCACCCCATCCCCACTGTCAGCCACTCCCTCACCTGCTTCCGCTCTCCTGACATACTTGGGCATCAGCTCATCGCGTTTCCTAGGAAATCTGTGTGTGTGTCTGGGAAAGCAGGGGCTCTTCCTTAGAAAAGCAGGGCCGCACTCCCCACAGCTTGTGGGGAGCAGTGCCCGACGATGCCTTCATAGCGGTGTGTTCCAGGTCTCCATCCTTCTCCATTCTTCTTTCCTTGGGAGGAAGGTTGGCCACACAAGGGCCGTGCTACCGCAAGGGTTCGTACAAGGGTCCCACCTTGTGATTGGCTGAGGTAGCTCATTTATTTCACTCTTTGGGTCATTTTTTTGGGGTATTTTAATTGAAGGAACCCGTCCTATCCAGTGATCTGTAACTTTCACCCTACTCTGGAGTTTCGCCTCACTTCCCTGTGTTTCCACTTTTAACTCCTCTTTGGTTTGGTCTCGGGAATCCCGCAGGCGTTCAGGGAGTTGGGGGTGGAGGGCGTCAAGATTGGAGGCTACAGGGGGAAAGAAAGAAAACAGGCTTTGCAGAGCCTGACTGCCCCGGACCCGGGCCGTGGCCAGAGCGCGTCCCCGTGGGGCAGCGCGGGCGGCGTGGCAGGTGAGCGGCAGGCCGGAGTCCTTTGCTCACGATGTGCAGTCCGGGTGGTTTGGGGCGGGGAGGTGGAGCCTGGTGCCCAGATCAGCCCTGCAACGCGTGGGAGGTTTCAGGAAACACATGTCCTGAAATGGTGCCTCCACAGCCGGGACAGCGGGTTTTGGGGAAGCGGGGTCCCGGGCCCAGCACGCGGCAGTCCTCCCTGTGGCCGCCGGGCCGAGCGTCTGGTCTGTGAGAGCTCCCTGGGAAGTGAGGTTCAGACAGCCCCTACCCTGCACCCCCTGGGGACTCTGCAGTGCCTCTCTCCTGCGTGCACACGCTCGGAGGTGTCTGAGACACAGAGGGGGGGGGGTGGGGGGGGGTTGGCTTCCAGGAGTGTGTGGTGTCGCATTGTTTTTACTGGCGAAAAGTCTGTGTGACTCATGGAAATGAACGGGGGGGGGGGGGGGTTAAACCTGGCCCATTTCCTCTTACTGTGGAATGGGAGTCCTTGACCTGCTCCTCGGAGCATGTGGCCGCATTTTTTTCAGAAATCCTAACCGTGCTGAGACTCCCGGACATAGTGGGGAAAATTTCATCCAACCGCGGTGTGTGAATTGTTTTATAGAGGAGCTTAACCTTTAACTTCCCCCACCGCCGAGGGCTGGCTTGGCCACACAGCTTCTGATCTCAGGGCAAAATGACGCGTGGGTGGAGGGTGGGGGGTGGAGGAGGCGCAAGGCGTGGACCCGGGTGCCTGGCAGTGGCTGCCCTGGCTCCACCTGGTGGCACCGCGCCACGTCTCCGGGCCTCTCACGGTCTCTGTGCTGCCGGTCCTGGGGCTCCTTCCCCAGAGACGTGTGTCTGTGTAAGGTACAGGCGCCGTGGGGCTGGGAGACCCCGTGTGGCCCTTGTTCCCAACCCTCAGCCATCCCCACCCCCAAGCCCCGCTTCCTCCCCCACCCCCCTTTTCTCCCCCAGTTCCGCTAGCTGTCAGGGGGAGCCCTCGCCCAGGCCTGTGTGTGTGTGTGTGTGTGTGGGGTGACGCGGCACAGAGGCGGCACGTGACTGCACCAGAAGACCGAGTGCCTCTGAGTTTTGTTCCTTGTGCCCCAGTCGTGGCTTACGGGAGACTGGGCAGTGCCTCCTGGTGAGCCCCAGTGTGGCAGGCGTGGGGTGTCAGCAGACAGCCCCTTGGAGGGAGAAGGCCCTGCTCCCTGGAGTGCCACAGCGCCCTCTGCTGGCGCCGCCTTCAGCAGGCGGGTCTCGGACACAGCCGCTGGCGCAGGGCCAGGTTTCTGCTCAGTTTCGTGGCAGGGACGCCCTCCGGGCCCGCCTGAGAACTCCAGCTCCTTCCACGGCCACCCCCACAGCCCTGTACGTTAGTTTCTAACGAATGACAGCGGAGGCGGATTCTGACCTTTATCCTTCTGCTAAACCCAGGGCGCGGTACCCAAAGGCAACGCGACGAAAGAGTACATGGAGAGTCTCCAGCTCAAGCCCGGGGAGGTGATCTACAAGTGCCCCAAGTGCTGCTGCGTCAAGCCCGAGCGCGCCCACCACTGCAGGTACCGGGGCCGCACGAGCACATCCACACAGTGCACCCACCCCTGGAGGTACCAAGGCTCTCCCCAGTACCCCAGTCTAGCCCGCCCACACTGAGGACTGGGGCTCCCTCCTAGTCCCCAATCAGCCAGCCATTTCTGTGGGTACTGGGGCTCCTGAGTCCCCACCCCATCTCTGCGGGTAGTAGGGCTCTCCTCAGTTCCCCCCCCCAACCCATCTCTGCAAGTACAGGGCTCCCCCCTAGCAACAACCCACCACAACTGCCTCTGCAGGTGCAGGGTCTTCCTGGTGTTGCCACTCAGGGCACCCACCACTGGGGTGCCACCCTGCACAGCACGCCCATGGCTGGGGGCGGGGGTGCTGCCTTCATCACCCAGCACAACTACTCTGCGGGTACCAGGCCATCCCCACCTGTTGCATCCACCACTGCAGGAACTGGAGCTCCCCCCAGGTCCCACTCACACCACCGTGGATACTGGGGCTCCCTGCAGTCCCCAAACCCAGCATATCCATCTCTGTAGGTCCCTGGCTTCCCATGGTTGCTGGACACGATAGCTCTGTGGACAGCAGGGCCCTTCCCGTCACCCAGCTCCGCTCCCCACCTTTGTAGGTACTGGGTCTCTCCCCCCAGAACATCCCCAAGCCTCACACCTCTACAGGAACCAGAGCCCTCCCCAGTGCTCAGCTTCCTTCCCCAACCACTGCATGTTCTGGAGCTCGCCCTAGTCACCCACCCGGCACACCCACCTCTAGGTACTGGGGTTCGTTCAAGTTGCCCCATTCAGCGCAGACACCTCTGCAGCTACTGGGCCTCTCCGCCAACCAGTGCAGCTTGTCCACCGAACGTGTCCCGGGACGTTCCTTAGTATCTGCAACAGAGCATCCCCCACTGTAGGAGCTGGGGGCCCACATACAATACACCCACCTCAGCAGGTACCAGGGCACCCCACCCAGTCCTTTACCCACACCCCCATCCTAGTCCCCAGTCAACTCGTCACTCTAGGCTCGAACTCCACCTAAAACCTTGCGTCCCACACCCACTCCTCAGTGTATATGCCCTGTGCACCCCCCACTGTAGCACTAGGGCTCCCCGACAGTATCTGCACACAGCATCCCCATCGCTGCAGGTTCCGGGGTGCTACCAAGCACCAAACCAGCACACACACTGCTGCAGCTAAGAGGCTCTTCATAGACCACACCCAGGACAGGGCTAATTATGGGGGTTCTCACCCAGCAAAACTACCTACTTTGTAGTGTGGCCGCCCTCTCCTTCCACCAACTCCCCACGGTGCTGGAGGTACTCTGACTTTCCCCAGTATCCCCATAACTCAAAACTCCCCTCCTCTGCAAATAGTAGGGCTCCACCATAGTCCCCGCTCAGCACACACCTCTGCAGTTACGGGCGCTCCCCCTCAGACTGTCCGCATGGACCAGGGCTCTCCCTAGTGCACACACCCAGCTCACCTACCGTGCAGGTGCCAGCACATGCCACAGCAGCCACGCTCCCCACCTCAGCAGGTAGTTGGGCTCCCCTCTAGCCCCCACCTAGCACACCTGCCTTTTTGGTACCTGGCCTCTCATGTCTGCCAGGGCTCTCCCCAGTGCGGGCACCCACCACTGCAGGTACTGGGACTCCCCCATTCTCCGCACACAACACACCCACCGCTGCAGTTTCCAGGGCTCCCTTCTAGTAACCTAGCGCACCCCGCCGCCGCAGGTACTGGCTTCCGCAGAGCGCTCCCACCGCTGCAGGGGCCAGGCAGCCCCCTCAGTCCCTCAGCACACGCACCTGCAGGTCCCGGCAGTGGGTATGCTGTGTGCCTCGCCGTAGTGCGGGTCTCCCCACACTAAGGGGCCGCGGCTCCCTCCCAGTCACCGAGTGCACTGTCCCCTACATGTACTGGGGTGCACCATAGTCCCCTCCCAGAACACAAGCACTGTAGGTGCCGGGGTTCTTCTAGTCACCCAGTAAAACTACATTTGCAGGAACCTGGCCTTCCTGTCCTTCCCTCACTCAGCTCACCCAATCTGCAGGTACTGAGGCATTGCCCCCCCTTTCCAGTCAGCACACACACCCCGCAGGAACTTAGGTTCCCCACTACATGCTCCACCCAGAGCACCCACCTGCACGTGTGCCAGGGCTGCCCCAGTACACATAGCTGCTGCCCCTGTCTCTGCAGGTCCCAGGGCTCCTCCCAAGTCCTTCCACCCAGTACTGGGGCGCCACCATAGACACCCCGCCCCCCCCAGAACACACAGCCCAGAGATGCGGTGTTCTTCTAGTCACCTCGCAAACTGTCTTCTGCAGGGACCCAGCCCCCCTCTCCTTTCCGCACTCAGTCACCCTTTCTGAAGGTCCTGGGCTCTCCCTTCCCCAGCCGGTGCTCCCACCTCCGCAGACAGTGGTAGGTGCCCGGGTGGAAGGACTGGAGGGGGCCCCGGAACCTGTGGAGATGAGTGAGCTGGGTTGGAGACCACACAACGTGTACCGGTACTGGGGCTCCCCTCCAGCCCTTCCCCCCAGAGCACACAGCCTGCAGGTACCGGGGCATCCCCCAGCACTGCAGCCCAGCTGAACCGCCTCTGTAGCAGTGAGGCTCCCCCGAGCCCCTGCACCTACCGCGACTCTTCCCCAGTTCCCACGCCAGCTCAGCCACCATGCACAGCACCCACAACAGGTGCACTCGTCTACATAGGTTCTGGGGCTCCCCACTTGTCCCCACCCGTAACCCACCTCTGCAGCTGCCGCGACACCTCCCTAGTCCTGTCCCTAGAGCGCCGGCCTCTCCGGTATTGGAGCAGCACCGTGTGCCCCAGCCGGCTCACCCGCCTCTGCAGGTACCGGGGCCCCCTCCGGTCCCTCTACCCGGGGCACCTACCACTGTCTGCAGATAGAGGGGCTCTGTGTAGTTAACATACCTACCTCTGCAGGTGCCAGGGCTGTTCTCAGTACCCCCAGTCAGTACACTCGTCAGTGTAGGTTCTGGGGTTCCCCACTAGTTCCCGGCCAGTCACCCACCTCTGCAGTTGATTGGCTCCCACCCTCCCCAACACAGCACACCTGCCTTTGCAGGTACAGGGGCTCCTCTGCCCAACCAGCACTCCCACCTTCACATCCACCTGGACCCAACCCAGTACACTCAGCCCCATAGGTGCTAGGACTTCCCCACAATATCCCAACACAACACCCCATCTCTGCAGGTCCCGGCTCCCCCTCTAGTAACCCAGTGTGGGTACCGCTGCAGGCGGCATGTGCAGAGCAGTCAACTGGCACAGGGACACCTGCAGGCCCCAGGGCTGCACCACAGTCCCCACCCAGAGCACACAGCCCTGTAGAAACCAGGGTGCTCCTGGCCCTGGGCACCCAGCCTCCCTTCCTTCCTGTGCTCAGCTCCCCCCGTTTGCAGGGCCTGGGCCTCTCCAGTTGTTCCAGCCAGCACACAGTTACTGCAGAGCCCCTGCCTCCAAGTCTTTCCACCCAGAGCTACCCCACAGCAGGTTCTCGGGTTCTCCCTACCACCCCCAGAGGACTGGTCTTCGCTTTAGTCCCCCTGCCCTGTGTTTGCCCCCCCCCCCATTGCAGGTACTGCACCTCCTCCCTCGAGCATGTCGCCCCACCGGTGCCCTTTCAGTGTCTTCAGGGGATTGGGAAGTGGCAGGGCTGGGTTGTGTTTGCAGGGGTTGTGGAAAAGAGCTAGTTTTGGGGACTAGTGCCTGCTCAGGGCTGAGGTGTTGCTTGGCGTCTGGGAACCACACAGCCTTCGGGGTCCCTTACTCCCAGAGGGAGTAGCCAGATAAACAGGATGGGGCGCTTGCCTCCCACGGCGCCTGCAGTGCTCAGAATTTCCTGGCTGTGGGCTGTGTGGAGTCCGTGGGGACTCTTCCCTGCCCCCGCCAAGTGCTGGGTGTCACGCCCCTGCTCTGGGAGGGCTGCAGGGTGCGTTGCATGTGCTCCTGGCACCAGGCTGTAGCGCTCCGAGGAGCCAAAGCCGTCCCGGCTGCCTAGGGCTTGTCTGTTCACCTCTCTGCTCAGCGGGATCAGCACTCCCCGGGAGTGGGCCACGCGGGCCTGCCGCGCTGGGGGTTCTGGCTGCCGTAGTCTTAAGGCGCTCTGCTCACACCAGCTCTGCCACAAGGTGACTTCTCATGGGCTGTGCTGGACCAGGACGGGCGGTGGGCACCAGTGTGCTGGGGGAGAGAGGAGGGCGCTGATGTGCTCTGAGGCACAGTGACGGTGTCCACACGGCTCAGCCAGGTGAACCAGACAGACGGCAGACAGACGAGGGGCTGTCACTCTAAGGTGCTGGGGCGGCTTACCTTTCGGGGGACTGTCTCCCGCTGTGCATACACATTCGGCCTCAGAGTCGTGCGTTTACCGGGGTGCTCTTCTGGAAGATGTATATTATACTTGGAGAAATCTGTTTTTAAAAAATTAGGACGCTTTAGAAGTTAGAGGATTGAACAGGTGCAAAACCTACGCAGAGAAACTGAGTCAGAACTGGAGGTGACACCGCCAACAGCCCACCTCCCACGTGGGGGCTTGACTTCAAAGAGTGTGAGCTGTTTCAAGGATGACTCCTAGCAAATCACTTCAAGTCTGACATTTGGAATATGCTGGGCAAAGTGCAGCTGGAAAGTGACCTTGGGCAGGGATCCCGGGCGTGCGCTTCAATGCCGGTGACAGGAAGGGGCAGAGACAGGAATGTGTCTTTCCCTGAAGGTGAAAGTTCAGTTTTTTTTTTTTTTTTTTTTTTTTTTTTATTGAAATGCACTAAAGCTTGTAACGCTGGGACCCGCACGGACGAGCTTGTGTGGTCCCCAGCGGGGGCGGGAGGCGCCTCCGAGGCGGCTGGTAACGTGCAGGTGTGTTTTGCTGGAGAAGACGAGACGCGCTCACAGTGGCCCGGCGCCGGCACGCGCGTCCTCGCGGGTTTCTCACGTGACCTGCCAGAGCGCGCGCCTTGTTCTCTGGCTTTGACTCGGGTGTGCTCCTCTCCCCCGGCGGGAGGGCTGACGCTCGGGCTGCTCCTTTTCAGTATTTGCAAACGATGTATTCGGAAGATGGACCATCACTGCCCGTGGGTGAACAACTGTGTCGGCGAGAAGAACCAGAGGTTTTTTGTGCTCTTCACGGTGAGTAGGCGTGTGCGGGGGGGACTTAGGGAGTTCAGGGTTTGCCCCTCGGAAGCTGCCCCTGGGCAGCCGACTTACTCTGCCGCCAGCCCGGTGTCCCCGCCCCCGCCAGGGGCTCAGGCGCCGACACCGCGTGGCTCGGCCGGAGCTCGTGCCCCCATAAACGTGCCGCTCTCGGGGCCTTTGAGTCCCAGTGTCACAGGATCTTGCTCCAGCGCCCTAGCACCTCCTTCCCCGCTGTGTGTCCTTCCATAAAGCGGTGCCGCCCGGCCCGTGTGGCGCTGGGGGGGGCAGCACAGCGCTGGCGCCCTCCTCCCCTCGCCTGCGCTGAGCCTCTCCCCCGCTTGCAGATGTACATCGCGCTGTCCTCCGTGCACGCGCTGGTCCTCTGTGCGCTGCAGTTCGTCTCCTGTGTCCGCGGGCAGTGGACTGGTAAGTGCCGGCGGCGGGCGCCCTCCCGTGCGCGCTGTGCGAGGGGAGAGGAGAATTCACTTTCCAGTTTTTAAGGAAATTCTCACTGTTTAGAAATTGTTCTAGGGAAGAATACAGGCAAGTGTTCACAGCGCCATTCTGCGAGCTTCGTGACGCCGTGTGTGTACGTGCTCTTCCTTCGTCGTTTCTACTCTGTCCTTCCATTTGTGCTTTGCACATTTTTGAGGTCAGGTGGAAGTTAGTGTTGTAACCACCAGACCTTGTTTGCTAATTAGCTAAACCTCATTCCAGGTTACTGTTCCTCCACTTCCTGTGGGTAAGCCCCAGCAGGTGAGGGAGAGGCCGGCCCCACCTGGCCAGACAGCTCAGGGGTGGTGGGGCTGGCCCGAATGGCCCTCGCCCCACACCCTCTCCTGACTGCGGCTGCGTCTCAGTAGTTCTAACCCACAAGCGTGGGCTCAGTGGGGACCTGGCGGCGGGGGAGGGGCGCGGCACAGAACCTTTCAGACTGCTCAGCAGGAGCTTCCGTGTGTTTCTGCTCAGAAGGGCCGGCCTCCTGCCCGTGGGTGACAGTGACTGTGCCTCGTCCTGAGCTCGGCCTGCGGTGTGCATAGGCCCTGGTGCCCCCCAACCGCTCCTCTCTGTTCACAGAGTGCAGTGACTTCTCGCCTCCCATCACCGTGATCCTGCTGATCTTCCTGTGCCTTGAGGGGCTCCTGTTTTTCACGTTCACTGCAGTCATGTTTGGCACGCAGATCCACTCCATCTGCAACGATGAGACGGTACGCGCGGCCCTCGGCTCCTTTGTGCTCACTGTGGGCCCGAGCTCGTGTCTGCAAGAAGTGGGGTGTCGAGAGAGGTGCATGTGTGCTTGCTCAGGGGAAGAACTCTGATAAGTGCTCTGGGTGTCGTTCCCTCTCCCTGCAGGGCATGTTCAGGGGGTTTGATTTACGGGGCGCAGGGCCAGGCAGATAGGTAGGCTCGCCCCCCAGCTTCCAGGACCAGGGCAGGGACTCCCCACTTCCACACCCTTGCACTGAAGTTCCGGAGCAGGCACTTGCTAAGTGTTTGTGATAAACGAAGACAGGCTGCCCCTGCCCCGCACGCCGTGGCGGCCACTGCCCAGCTGGTGACGTGGGCCTTTGCTCAGGGTGGCTGTGGGGTGGCACCAGGAAGGAGGGTCTGTTTCGCTGAGCACCGAGCCCACATTCCCCTGGAACCCCTGATTCTGAAACAAATGGGGGCCCCAGAGTGTGGTGGGAACCGTGGCCTCACCTGTCTCTGTCAGGAGCTCACCGCGGTGCCATCGCCACTTGCTTTCTGCTCCCAGGAGATCGAGAGACTCAAGAGTGAGAAGCCGACGTGGGAGCGGAGGCTTCGATGGGAAGGGATGAAGTCTGTCTTTGGAGGACCCCCCTCACTCCTCTGGATGAACCCCTTTGTTGGCTTCCGATTTAGGCGACTGCAATCGAGACCCAGAAGAGGAGGCCCAGAGTTCTCCATTTGAGGCCCCTCTCATCACGCTGGAACCTGTGAACAGACTTAGTTATTTATTGGGGTCTGAAAGGGCACCCACAGCTCTTCTGTGACCTCAGGGCGGCGGGACCTGCGCACACCAGCTGCTTGCCCAGGCAGAGAGCCCGTCTCTGCAGCCAGGGTGCGGCTTTCCCAGACTAGCAACTGGCCGACGCTCTCACAGGCTTCCCTGCGCGCGGAGAGAACGTGGCCACCGGAGAAGCCCAGTGTCATCGTCCCACATGCTTGGGATTTTTCTTACGAACACTCTGCATTTTCTGAGGCGCTGTGTGGGCTATTGCAGGGTTATTAAAATCCTGTGTACTGAGCTGCTGTTTTCAATCATGAAGGGGAAAAAAAAGTCAATCCAGTGAATGCGAATCCTGGCCTGGTGGTCTCGGGGCCTCCTGCTGACCTGTGAGCATCAGCGCCCTCTCCAGCCACGAGGCGAGGGCCGTTTACACACGGGCACATCTGGGTCTCCGTCGCTCTGCCCCTCGCACTGAATGAGCGGAGACCTGCGCCCTGAGCAGGAGGCGGCTCCCGGGACGCGCCCGTGCGGGAAGTGCTCCAGCCCTGTGGGCTTGGCCGCGCGCCCGTGTGCACGTGTCCGCAGTCGGCAGTGTTTAAGCGACGTGACATTTCATGGCTGCGTGCAGCCAACAAGCTATTTTTTAGAACCCAGTGTTTCAGGGAAGAGGGGAGAGCAGCCGCGGGTCCCCCCCGTGGGGTTTCCTATGAATGTATTGCATTTTGGAGGGCATCTTGATCCAAAGAACAGTCATCCCTGTGGGGTCCTCTGTTGCCCTCCTCTTTTAATTTTATTTAAAACTCCTATGCGCACGAGGGCGTGGGAGCTGATTTTTTTTTTTCCAGCCAACTAAAACCCGAGCGCCTGCGCAGGGGAGCGTGTGGCGGTGCAGCCCCGAGGCGGCGCTCGCAGGGTGGCAGGTGTGCCCGCCGGCGGGGAGCCCTGGATGGCGACTGTGGGTTTTGTTGGTGTTTCCCTACCCACGTCACAAGTGGTAACAGAGGACCCTCGGTGCCGAGCTTAAAATGACGCCAGAAAGCAAACAGCTCCCCTGCGGGGGGAACTCGCCTTAAACTTGCCTGGTTTGTCCACGTCTGCGGGACGCGGGAGCCATCTGCTGTCGGAGGGTCCCGACCTGCCCGCCCCTGCCGAGAAGCACCGGCGCCCGTCCTGTCAGGGCGCTGCCTTTCTCCATCGGAGCTGGCCTGTTCTTTTCAACTAACCCGCCCCCTTTCCGAATCAGGGCTTCTCCCACTGCTGCTGCAAACCAGAGGGACCTGGGAGACCGTCCTGCCCGGGACCGGAGCTGGCGGAGGCCTTCGGGGCCGAGTCACTGCAGAGAGGCTGCGGCAGCGGGGGTGTGTGGCAGCTGGAGGGGCAGCGACAGCTCGTGGGTGCCCAGCAGACGGCTGCGTTGCCAGAGATTGTTTTGCATATTCATTTGCACATCCGTTGTCTGGGGTGGGCGTGTGTGGGCTTCCGCGGGAGGCTTGAAATCAATGAAAAATGGTGGGCCTGGGTGACTCCTGTGAGATTGGCCAAGTATGTGCAGGTCAGGTGGACTGGACTTTCCAACCTCCTCTTTCAGTGTAACTTTTATATGAAATAAAGTCACCAATTGACAGTTGTCAGTTGATGAAGTGACACTGTTGTTAATGGATTTGTCTGTGTGTTTAGTGTCAGCCTTACCCTGACACCAGCTCCCGCCTGTCACGGACAGCCAGGTCGCCCGGGCTGCAGTGGCAGTTCTCGCCTGTCCCTAGGCTGCTGTATCTGAGTGGACACGCACACCCTCCCACGCAGCTCTGCCCCCGTCACTCCTGTCCTTGAAGAGAGTTTTTAAAAATGCCTCTCTGAGCCCAAATCTCAGGTACCCACCACTTAATCTCTGATAAACTTGTCTAATACTTGTACTTGAGCAACCCAAAGATTTGGGGACAAGGGTGACCATCTCCTCCCACCGCCATGCCCACACTGCCGGCTACACGAATGCTCACCGGTGCACGCCTGCAGGCATCCACACCTCCGGGGTGCCGGCCCGCGGGTGCTTCAACAACGCGGGAGCCTAAAGGCTCCTCCGACATGGGACCACATCCCTGCGCCTGGAGGTCCAGCCAGCGGGCTCTCAGGCTTGTGCTTAAGGCTCCACTGCCACAAGATTTTACTCTCCATGATCTGTACTCTACTATTCACACGTCAGGTTGGCTCAGTTTCTAGAATTACGACATTTGCATTAAAATGAAAACACCCTAACAGGAAGGGGGCTGGGTTCTGTCTGTCACCACAGGTGAGCGTGATTGGGCTGCTAGCACAGAGAAAATCTCTTTAAAGGAGAGGCTGGGGCTGGCTGCCCCTAAAACCCTGCGGAGTCCACTGTAGCATTCCAGGGCCCTGGCAGGGACCACGGGCGCTTCATGCCCACCTCCAGCCAGTCACCCTGAGGGCCTCTGGGATGCTGACGTGTTTGTATAGGTGTGTGGCTGCCCGCAGCCTGGCTTGGGTCTGTGAGCGAATGAATGGGTGGCCTGATGGAAACATACTCTTGTGCATGGTGCCCCTCGAGGCTCCAGAGACTGGTTATCCTGGGATCCTACCCCCACTCAGGCTTAATTACACCCCCCCCCCGCCCCAGTTTGTGGTATAGCTTTTACACGACTCAGGGTCTCACTGCCAAAGCCAGGGGCACCTGTGATTTTGTACAATAGTTGACTTTTCCCAGAGTTGAAACACCTGTGGAGGGCGCTGGGCAGGGTGCCCCCAAGAGCAACGGCGGCCAGTGAGGATCTCGCCTCCCAGGGATGCCCTTGGGTGCTGGCTGAGCTTCATCTCCACCCGCCACAGCCATCTGGGGAAATGGCGCTCCCCCTTTGATTAGGGGAGACACCGTTCAGTTCACCAGAAATAGGGGGCGGTCACACCTCTCTGATTTCAAAACTCATGCTTTTCTCGGGGTCGTGCTCAGCCTCTCAGATGTATGGATGGACCTTTCACAAACACGTTTTAGAGGGAAGGTTCTGCTGAAAATGGCCACAGGGTGGGCGAGAGGACTAGGGCCACCAGGGAGTACCACCACCCTATGCTTGGCTTCAGTTCCTTTCAAGGTCACAGTGAGTCACCTCTCAGGGCAGGTCTGGGGTCACCAAGGAAAGGGGCCTGTGAACCAGGGAGGTGTGTGTGCTGGGCCGGACCCCCAAGACCCCACAGGGAGGGAAGGGGTGGTCAGTGCCCACGTTTCTCCTTCTGCTCCTGCTAACCCATGGGCCCAGAGGACAGCAGGCCCCTACAGGTAGGCCCAGGGCAGGGGCAGGGGGTGGTTCAGAGGAGCGAGTGGTCCCTGAACAGGCCCCGCGTCCTCAAAGGCCAGTACCCACTCCCCGGGAAGAGCCCACATCCAGAGCCGTGGGCTGCTGCGTGCACCACAGGCAGGCAGGGTGGGCATCCCCAACTTGTGGCCCCCTCAACCTGCACCACTTCATGAAGGGAGGGGGACCTGCCTCCTGTGGACCTCAGGAAGCTACACAGTCCCCCTTAGAAGCAGGCCTGGCTTTGCCACGGAGTGCTTCTGGAAAGCACTACCCTGTTTCCCACTCTTGGCCACAGGACGCTGCCCGGGCAGCAGGGAGCAGGTCGAGGCCTCCCCTCCAGGCCCAGCAGTCAGGGACAGGGCATGAGGCTGGAAATGGCACATCTGCCAGCCAGAGAGAGCAGAGAGGCAGGTCTCACGTGGGTCCTGCTGGGTGAGGCCAGATGTGGAGGGATGGGCAGGGTGTTCCAGGACCTCCAGGGTGCCCACCGCCCCAGCCTGTGCACTTGCTCACTTCCTAACAGATCCCAAGCTCCCCCCCACCTCCCAGAGTTCAGGAAACACCCCCGTCTTCCCAACCTGGGTCACAGCCATGATGGTACCTGAGTACCTGGCCCCTGCTCGTCTTCCCAGTAACAGACACAGCATCGCAGGACTGTCAACATGACTCCTTGCCACACCAGGGTGGGGCTGGCAGCTCTTACAGGCCACGTCCCATCACGTGTCTGTCAAATGCCGCTTCTCTTACGGCCATCGGGCTCTTGACCAAGTCGGGCAGTAGAGGCAGAACAGGAAGTTAGCATGAAGGCTGCAGCCAACCGCCCCTGCCCCTCCCTCATGCAGTACTTCTGAAAAACAGCTGTGCACATTCCAGAACAAAGTCACTCAAAGCCTCTTAGCTTCTCACACCAGGGGCCACTAGGTATAAAACTTCTCCGATATTCTCTTACGGGAGGCCAGGGTCTGGCGGCTGTGGTGAACAAAACTGGTCAAAACCCACTCAGGAACCCCTGGGCCCGCCAACTAAGCAAGCACCCCCAGCGGCGGGCTGGGCGGCATCTCCGTGTCTGCACTCCCCCTCGAGGGTGCGCTCGCGCCACAGTGAAGCTCCCTTTCCCACTCAGCTACAGACTCCCGACAAACTCTTTCCTGCCAGAACGTCAAGGACCTCGGCGTCCCTGAGCACCCCTGGGTCCCAAGAGAGAAGCCGGGGGTGTGGGGGTAGAAATGATTAACAGTGTCATTAAACCAGCTATAAAGGACCCTCAAACACGGACCCCTTAGGCACAGGCTGACGACAGAAAGCACCTGAGGTGCCACAGAGCGGGCCGGGGACTGAGGGCCGGACTGACCCGGTCACACCCTGAAAGTGACCGACAACAGGTAATAATCTCGCAGAGGCACGAGCCCCTCCCCCAACACTGTGAGAACAATTCCTGCCCTGGCAAAATGCAGCCTCCTGCCAGGTCCGCTCCCCGGTGCCTCTGCACGTGCCTCTTTTCCCCCTTTCTCCTTTAACCAATAAAGCTGTCCTTTTAAAATGTAACCGTCACCTGCCTGTGTCTGCGAGTCTCCCGGGTAAACTCGCCCAGTGCTGCTGAAAGGGGAGCTCTGCCAAGGACCCTACTCACCAACCCCAGCATCTCTCAGAATGACATAAGGAAAAGTAACTTTTTAAAGACATGTCTCTATCAATAAGGAAGTTCAGAAGCTATAGAAAACTTCTTAAAGTCTAACAGACCCAACCTTACCGGTTTAGAATGCTGGTAGTGTTCTAAAATACTGTATGTGCCACAAAAATTAAACTTTTTTGTAACTGTGTTATAATCACATCTTTAATATAGACGTTTTAAAGTCTTTATAGCCATTTACAAGAATTATTCTAGACCCCACCCACAGCATGGCTGAATGAAGAGGCTGGAATCACCCTCTCCCTTAAAAACAATTATAAAAAAACAGTTTTTGCTCATAGGATGATCCAGTGCTCTGTCCCCCTACAGAGCCCCAGTACTTCCCCTTGGAGATCTCGAACTAAGGTCAGTGGGTGGCCACTGAGGGAGAGGAAGGGGAGAAAGCCAGCCATGGCCGGGTGGGGGTCAACCCCATGTTGGGGCTACGAGCCATGTTGGGGCTACGATGCGGCCACCCAGGACACTGAAGTTCCCTGGAGAAACTCTTCTGACCCTGCCCGGCACCGCGAGGACCCTGCAAGACCAGACCCAGGAAACGCGGAACTCTGCAGCGGGCCTGGGTGCCAAAAGTTCTTTCCCCAGGTCTTCCAGGAAGGGATGAAAGAGAAGCCAGGCCGGACTCCATAAGAAGCCCAACAGCAGAGGGAAGGACTTGTGAGCCAGCCCAGGCACTGTTTGGGGAAGTAAACCAACTGTGTGCAGATACTGCAGCCCTGCAGAAGCGACTGTGGGGTGGGACAGGGTGGTGAAGTGCATTGCGGGTTGCCTAGTGACAAGCCAGTACATGCCTGCCCACAACACACTGCACCATCAAGGAAATGAGTCCCAGAGCATGAGCCTGACAGTCCAGACCCAGCTCCTCCCACAGGAGACTCCTGCTTCATAGATCACAGCCTGGGCAGAAAGGAGCGGCAGAGAGGTGGGCTGAGAAGGTTAAACAGCCTAAACACAGAATAGAGCTTGCCGTGGAATGAAGGAAGAGGTAGAGATGACCAGCTTCACTCCTCAAACTGAGACAGAGTATTAAAGCCTCAGACTCCCCTGTTGCCCTTATCTCATGCTAAGGCAAACTAAGGGAAGCAAGCAAAACCAAGTCTGCAGCACCCCAAATACACACCCACAGAGAGAGAAAGAGAGAGCAAATAAGGCAGCACACATGCCTGGGAAGCAAGGAACATCTGAGCACAAGATGAAAAAGCAAAATGTTAAACAAGTCCTAGAACAAATATAAAGGATACAGTAATAGAGGAGCTGTCAAACTTCAAAACAACAATATTAAAAATGCTAAATGAGCTATTGGGAAGTAAAGGGCAGATAGCAGGTGCAAGATATTAGAAAGGAGATCCAGGAACAGAGACTTCTTCACCAAAGAGATTGAACATATAAAAAGATCACAAAAGAGACGGAATGAAATGCGAACAAGTTTAGAAGCCTCCCTAAATAGAATTAAACTGACAGAATAAAGAATTTCAAATGTAGAGTCTCATTTAAAAGAGAAAATCAAAACAAAGGAAAAAAGAGCAAACTTGCTAAGAAATGTCAGACTCACTTAGAAGAGGAAACTTAAGAATAATCAGGTTCCCAGAAAGTATAGACAAAGAAACAGGAACAGAAACCCTATTCAAAAAATAATAACTGAAAATTTCAACCTACAGAATGAATTAAATATGG